TAGTCGCGTAAGATATCCGTCTGTATCACTTAAGTTTTCTTTTCTTTTACTCTAGTCACTTAAGCAATTTGAGATCACTTAAGCGACCAAGAGTCTTTTACGAAAATCGCTTAAGTGATACAAATGGATCGCTTAAGCGATCATAGATCTGGACAGATTCATTCTGCCTCAGACAAGATCGCTTAAGTGATCTCAAATCGCTTAAGTGACCAAGAGTCTTTTACAAAAATTGCTTAAGCGATCATAGCTCTGGGCATCCGCTGCAAACAACATTATACAAAAATAGGGATGGCCTTATACATCCAAGCCCACATTATACAAAAACAGTCCATATCATAATTCAAACACATATATTACAAAAAGCTATTAATATTTACCTGCATTGCCCATGGGAAGCCAAACAAATTATACGTGCCTAGTTTATCCTTCCTGACACATTGGGACTACTTTAACACCATGTTTGGTTTTTTCAGGCTCTTGATGGTTTGCTCAAATGATATCCATCCCCACGAATAAGAATTAAAGAACTCCAAGTCGCTTGCAAACAACAACCAATCATTCTCAACAGCTTTTGTTGAGTCACCAGCCAATAAGATCGAATGTAAAAACAATACCAAGCACACTTTTATCTTCTCTCCATCATTAAACCGAACTGTTTCTAGCCTCTCCTCTAAACCGTGTCCTGTAATAGACTTTGCCCTCTACAAAACCTTGTTACAAAATCTTATGGCTCTCAGACTCTTCCTTATTGCGTATGCCTCTAGCTTATCTAGCAATTTCCCACATCCTAAGCCCGTCACCAAGGCATATTCCATTATCCCAAAACGTAGTGGCTTTTTGGCCACCACGAACCACATTTCTTTATTTTTATTGCATTTTACTGAATGCAGCAACATGTAATGCACTCCCTACCCCTAGAACGTCTATTTCCAATTTGTTCCGATTCTTAAAAACTGACCAAGACATGTGTCTTCGAAATCTCTTGCACTTCCAGCTCAAATCTCCTTTATTCTGTCAAAAACATCTCACCTCGACCTGACGATCACCCTTGCAGGGAAGTAGGGTACATTATTGCTAACAAGCTCCAACACAATCTGCACAATCGATAAAAACAACATGTCAGCAACAAAAATAAACCAAAACAACTAATAAACAAAATATAAATAACAAAAAATTACCTCTGTGGTCACTTAAGCGATCTCGTGCAAGATCTCTTAAGCGATCCGAAATCGCTTAAGCGACCAAGAGTAAACTGAAAGAATCGCTTAAGCGATGCAAAAGATCACTTAAGCGATCTTATATCTAGATTTTACCTCGGACAGGATCGCTTAAGCGATTTGAAATCACTTAAGTGACCAAGAGTAAACTGAATCAATCGCTTAAGCGACCATGAGTAATACTCCCAAAACAAATGATTAATCGCTTAAGAGATTAATCGCTTAAGCGATACAAATGATCGCTTAAGNGAATCCGGGGAATTGTACAGCAAGTTATGGCAGAAACTCAGGGGAGAGTTGTACCCCCTGTTCAGGTACCGCCAGTTACTCATGTTGAAAGGGGACAACCGGTACCTCCCCCAGCGCAGAGCAGAGTTGAACCTATTTATGGTCTCTCTAGTCAGCATCAACCCTCAGAGTTTAAGGGTACTACAGATCCAGTAATAGCAGAAGAGTGGCTTGGGTCAGTAGAACGAGCCACAGGTTTAATTCTCTCATGGATTGACACACAAGTTGGAGAGATTCGACACAAAGTGGATTTACTGCCCAACGCATTGCATGTCGTTTGAGTCAAACGAGTTTTATGCTAGTGGGGGAGTAGAGATTCAAATGAGGAAGGAAAAATATTAAAATGTAATTTAGTTTAAAATGTTCATAAAACAGTAATGACAATCATAAATGAAAATTATGCACACCCAATTGTGATCTCCATGTAATGATTTCAATTTGAATACCACAAATAAATAATTTTTAAAACTTTTAGATAGAGTAGCTAGCCAGAACTTCTCTAATTTGATTGTAAAGGGACAATGTTTTTCACTCCGAAAGCCCATATAAAACAAACTGTTTTGCCTAAAAAATAAGGACTAACGTGAGCTTACGTCAGCAAGTACCAATCAAAGTTCAGGAAGCCTTTGTGCCGTCCAGGAGTTGCCACGTCGTCCAAAGACAAAAAAAATATGGTTGTCATCAATTTGGCAAACTCAAACTTTGTCTATGAGTGGATGGGAGTCGCCCACATGTCCAAGCCCTACGTAATTTGAGGATATCTCTTATGTAATCAGCCAATGGGGAGCGCGGTAGGAATTATACTACACTTGCCCACTTACATATTTGTAATCATTACCCCAAAATCTTCTACTATGAATAGAAGGCCCCCCCTCTCATTCTCGAGATTCTGATAAAAAACCCACATTCTGATTGTAACCTATTATTCTTAAAACATAGATAACCTACGAGAAAGAGACTGACTTGATATTCTCTCTGAATAATCAGTCATTTGTACCTCTGCTCGCTGTTTGCTATACGTGACCTCCTGTAACCTCATATATAAAAGAACAATTGACCGTATGATTCGCTTTAAGCATCCGAACCACTTTAAAAATCGTCTTTCATTTACTTCATTGCATTTTTCATTCACGTGCAATTTCTAAGTCAGCTTAGCACTTTGCACGTGCGAATCGTTAGTGTCAAAATTAAGCATCAACAATTTGGCGCTAGAAGGAGAGTGTGATTTAGTATCCGCTCTTCATCAAGAATCTCTGATCAATCAGCTCTACTTGCTAACAAATGGCTCGCGGTTTCAAAATCGAGCGAACTATCCCCAACCCCGAAGAGGTCCCCCTAGGTATAGGATGATACTTCTTCTAAAGTACCTCCCATTCTGCAAAATACTGTACTAGATTTTCCCTCGAGCTCACAGCTCAATCCAGCTATGAGGAGTTACCTAGAAAGGTTCAACAATACTCTCCAAATGGTTAGCCGAAGGCTAGACCGTTTGGATCAAGTCGTATCGCCCGAGTCCAACAAGGCTGTGCCGTCGCCAAAAACTCCTATAGGTCGTATTAAAGCACGTAAGCGAGCGAAAGTCCATGCCATGCACACTACAGCATGTAAAGACAAGGGGAAGCAAGCGAAAGTCCATGCCACACGCACTACAGCGTGTAAAGACAAGGGGAAGCGAACGAAAGCCCATGTCACGCGCACTACAGCGCGTAAAGACAAGGGAAAGCAGGTGGCAGATAATGGCCCAAAGGGCTTCAAGGGACCAGCGAACGTCGATCATGAAGCAGGTATAATACCTATGGCTTTACGACTTGGCTATATGTCACATCTGTTAGAGTAGATGCCCTAGAGCCAATCAATTATTGTAGAATTGACTCTTTGTAATAATGTTCATTAACCACTAATAAAAGGCATTTTATTCTATATCGCGTAAATCATTATTATTGCAATATGTATTGATATAAGTCCTTAGAATGGTAGAACCGTGACGAGGGTATCAAGTGTTTCAAATCTTGATAGTGAGAACCCTATGAGCACATGTGGTGGCCATTCTAGAAACGTCCGTAGCCCCAGTATTATTCTGAAGTAAGGGCATAGATAATACGGTAAGGCTATCATAGTGTTGAACGACCCTGTCGAAAGGCAATGACTGATCTCACTTGTCAAGGTTGTTTGGTGACAACCTGGTGCAACACATGGGTGCTTGTTGTAGGCGGATATACCGCAGCAAGTTCACTGGATTGACCCACCAGAGGATTCCATATGGATGGTAACCCCAGTGTCTATGGAACAAATCCTCTAACGAATGGTGGTGCATGTGATCCTTAGACTTGAGNTTTAGGAGTTTGAGCTTGGGAATATTTGTTTTCCTTTTCCTATCGTGAGATGAATTAGGAAAGTAGAATTGGTTAATGACTTTACTTTGAATTAAAGTAAGAGAATGAAATTAAAATATGGGAGTCCTATTAAGAATAAAAATATGAATCCTATTAGAAATTGGATGTCTCATATACTACCTAAAAATATAGAGGTGATAACCAATTCATGATTATGAGAAAAAGAATGTGAAAACACAAGGGTTTTGATGTAAGGGTTATTAAACACCATAGGGTAAAATGTCCTAGAAATTAGGATTGTTCCCGTCTTATATACTAGGTTGATGGTGTTATGCACTATTGTATATCGTGTTCATGAAATTATAATAAAATTCTCCCATCCATGGAGGTAGCGAGTTATGCTAAGTCAAGTAAATATCATGTTTATGTGTGCGTGATATTCTTCACATATTGCCGTTCTTTATTTTACTTTTACTCCTCCGATTTCTAACAGTAAAGGGAAGTGCCATGACTTCTACAATGTTTTTTCAGCATAGAAGTGCTTAGGAAATACTGCAGATTGCATAATGAAATTTGATTTGCGTCATTTAGGATGTCAGTTTAGGTCACTATCCAACCGGGTCTAGTCGGCAAGTAAGTAGCTCTGGATTTCATAGTCAACATCAGTTGGTGAAGTTGTTCTTTCATACTAAGGAACTTTAGTCGTCTACTCAGCCCTGAGTAGATAATAGTCTCACTCACACCAAACCTTATTCCTTTCAGCAATAGCTTTTCCTTCCGCTAACAAAATCTACACAAGTTACAAAGACATTTCTTGAAAATATGAATGCAATTCGTTAATTGTATCCAATTTCAGTTGATTGAAGCCCGTTTACACCCACCCCATTTGCTGCCTTTCTCTTGATTACTTACATCGCTACAATGGTTAAAATCCCTTTTCTGCTCAGTAATTTATGACTGCAGTGATTGAGTTTATTACAACAATACTATAAGCACGGTCCTGTATACTGTAAATAATTGAGAGAATTAAAATCTCTTATCCGGTGAATCAACTAGAAAAAAACTGCCATAATCAAAGTAAAACCGCTGATGCAAACAGCCTTATTCAAATATACAAAAACAATATCATGATACAATGACTAGTATAAATCCGGAGCATATATATAAAACTAAAAACCCAAATTCTATATAGAGTCAAGCAATACTATCAAGTTGAGGAACTAGCAGAATAAGCCGATGACAATAGACATTAAGAAAGCAAAAGTAAGGCCACGTGATGATGAGGCGGCGCTGGGAGGAGTTGTGGTGCCAGAAGGAGTTGTGGTGCCAGAAGGACCAGGGGATGTGTTATTATCAGAGTCAGCAACAACGTTAATGGCAAGCTTTTGGCCGGCGGAGCAGTGTCCAGAAATGGTACATATGTAGTAGTGTTCACCAGTGGTATTGAGGGTCAAAGTCACTGGTCCAGTTGTTAAAAGTTGGGAGGGATTTGCGGTGTTGCAGCTGTCATAAGCAGCCTTTGTGACTATGGCCACGTCATGCGCTCCTGTACGGAAGTTGAAGACTGCAAGAAAGAATGGTGTTAATGTTAATCTTATCACAAATTTAACATAAACAAATTAAACAGCCATCAAAAGAGAAGGATAAGTTATCAAGTACGCTTAAGAAATTAAAAAATTCACCTAGAGTGTCACCAATTTCGAAGACTTTATTAGCAGCCCAGGTGGTATAATCAAAACCAGTGCTCGTCCAGCCAGTTGTGTCACCAACCGTGTAATTATCGGCATATGTGACCTGCAGCATCGCTGCCGATAAAAGTAGAGCTATAACAGCTTCTGCCATACTGATTCTAGCCATAGTTTGTTTATGTAGTGTTCACCGGTCTCAGGTCGCCCCTGGTTATTTCTGCTCTTTAATTGGTTTGGACTTTGGAGTTTGTTTGCTGGGTAGTTAATGTTAATGTGTTGAGTATATATAGAAGAACTCAACTGTGGTTGGGTGCTTTCTGGTGCACAGATGGCTTTGCTTGAAGTCCTGTCATATGATGTTAGCTGTCCTTATTTGACCGGAGATTTCCTGCAGCGGGGTAGTTGTTGAATGGCATCAGCAAAAGCAAACTAAGTCAATTCAGAGAAGGGATCCATTATTTTTTATTGCTTGATCCGTAATTTTTGCTACAGCCTACACTTCCTTATCATTTTTCAATACGAAAGAACAATTGCGATGATTATATTTTTAATTATGAACACTGTTCCTTGGAATTCCCAATAGTCAATAATGAATATATTATTTTAGATATAAGCCGACCAGAATATATATCCGTAATTTAATATATCAGTATTGACTTTGTTATGGCCGATCATATTGGGGCAGCTTGGCATTTGGTGAGACACTGCTTATATAAATGGCGAAAAACAAATTATTGGAGCTGTGACCTCATAGCTAGAGCATTATGATCTCATGAACACACATAAAAAACAAAAAAAACAAAAAAAAAATTTTTTGCTGAATCACTTTGAAACATAAATCTAAATTTGGTGACAAGATCTCGGCTAGAATTTAGCCAAAATTATAAACTTTTCTATTTGGGTCATAACCTTTCATTTACATACCATATATGTGAGGCATTTTTATACTAGTATTTGTGTTTGAGAAGTTTCAAGGAAATAATTGCAGGGTCTTTCAAATCTTTCCTTCACTCATTATTAAAAACTAGCTGGGAATGAATTTTCGGTGTGCATATTATAAAAGTATAGACGTGGTTGTCGCAATGTCCGTTTTGTTCTTCCGTTCCCATATACAATGTAAACGCTGCCTGTAGGTCATCTTCAATCTTATAAATTTATTTAACGCCACGTTTTCAATTAAATCATTTAAACCGGAGTTCATAATTGTTTAATGAAGAAAAGAACCATGAATGATATCTTGAGTCTATATATTCAAATTTCAGAATTGGGAGTTTCTCGTTAAAAAAGAAAAGTCTGGCATTTTAGGTAACAAAGTATCTGGGCGAACATAAAAAATGGTTGGATTGGATGTTGGTCACCTACTTTGATAAATCATTAAACCTTGTATTACAAATTACATTGATGGGATCATCCATAAACCCGAGAAATCACGCTGCTCAATTGGTCAGAATTTATGTGCGCCTTTATACTGTAGTTTGTCAAGCAGGGAAACTTCGATAGACTCTTAAACACTCATGAATTATTACGTTTTCTGAATATAAATGTTTTTGACGAATTAGAGCATAAAGAAATTGAGCCATCATGAGACTGAACAAAATTAATGCATTACATAATCAGCAGTTATGGCCATTGACCAGGCTACACGTTGATTCCCAGATTTCTTCTTTCGACTTGTATATTTATGGCCCTTTTCTTCTTTCTGAGATTATTTTAACATATTTCTTTCTCTTTTTCCACATGAAAAGAAAAGTCCCACAAAAATTAGGCAAGTTTTCGTTACGTCATTTTTACCAATAATTTGGTCTGGCTAGGCGCTTATTAATATTTTTTTTAACAAACTTTTTGCCAACAACCAAAGGCCGAAGCTCCAACCGTGACATTTTAAATGAGCAAGACCAAGTAATACATAAATAATACGTAGACGCGTTGATGCATAACCTGACGCAATCGGAGTTTCATAGAGCCTGTTTCTTACACTTAAAAAAAAAAAAAAAAATGTTATTTTGAAAAAGCATCTTAAATTGAGTTGAGTTAAATCAAATCGAATTGAATTTGAATCTGAAAATGTATTTAGTAAAATATCTGAAAATTATATTAGAATTGAATAGAATGCTGAATAATTGTTTGATACATTTTTTAAAAAAAGTTTTTAAGACAGAATAGTTGTTTGGTATATTTTTTAAAAATATTCTGATTATTTTTCTAACCCCTTACACTTGTTAATTTAGCTAAACACCTCCACAATAAAAGTTTAAAAATTAACTAAAGCATTCCAACCACCCAAGAGGACAACCGATCACCACCGCTGGATGACAGACAATAGTTGTTAGAACGATGCATGACTGATTAGATCTAGCTAGTCGTGCGTCGATATGACTATTTTCAGTAGATCTACAGTCAGAAACTGGCTGTTGAAAGCCAGATTTTGGCCGTTAATAATGACCAGATCTCGACCGTCAACAACAAGATCTCTGGCCATAGATCTAGCTAGAAACAATCAAATCGACGCATGATCGACTAGATCCAACCAATAGAAGGAGGAAAAATGAGAAGAGAGAAAAATATTTTCAGTTGAATAGAGTTAGATAATTTAGAAACAAGTCCCACATTCTTTTCATTTTTAAACAAAAAATCTTATTTGAGTTGAATTAATTTTCAGATTGGATTAGTCTAATAAGTAAACAAACACATATTCTATTTTTTAATCCAAATAGAATAACAGAATAATGATCCAGAATAGACAGGGGCATAATTGTTTCTTAACCAGAAGCCATGGCATTCATGCTTGACCATCATCGGCAGGCCAAATTTCTGAAATATTTAATCAGAAATTTCATCAAGGATTATTTCTATTTCTTGATGTGTGTTACAATAGCAAACAGGGCAGATACATTGGACCTCAAAACACTAGTGATCATCAACCTATCACTCCTAATCAATGTGAATCATTATCATCAACAAGCACAACTCAAAATGAGAGAGAAGAAATTTGTCAGTGAATCACTTTTTCAACACCCAAAATATGTCATCTTCCACATGATTTTGATACACATTTAGTAAAATAAAAATGATTTGCCATTTGAATGCAACAAAACAATAAGTCAGCAAACAGTCCAAATGGTTATTCTACTCGGGATATGAACTCTCCATATATCACAACAACCACACCTGTAAATGATATAGTTAAACAAAGACGGTAGGTTTAATCTGACACACAATCTCTGATATATATAAAATTAATCAGCGATTTCTAGCATACATTTGTAGAGAATACAAGAGTCAGTGATGTATAGTTTTTACTCTTTCATGTATGACATGGAATGGAAAACTTAAGTTCTATCCACGAATGTGTGGTGGTTACTGGTTTAGCATTAAAATACAAGAGGAAGAGGGAGAGCCCCAAGATATGCTCAATCACTAGCTAAAGATGATCAGAGGCATTGCCACAGCAAGATTTCTAAAATCAAGGAACAGGACCTAGTCCAACCTCAGGTATCCTGTAACAAAGGGGAGATAACACAGTGGATGATTTAGTATCATAAATCATAAAAAAAAAAAAAAAAAAATAACTGCATACGCACACGTCTGCTCCCTCAATAATTTGTTCCTGTAAATAGTAAAGAGTTATCTGAGGTTGGGTATTCTGTTTTCCCATTTCTTTTATTCACTTGATATACACAGGGGTCAACTGCTAAGTATTCACCAAAACCGAATTAAATAAATAAACAGCTTTGTCATCAAATATATCATTCTCTGCAACTAGTAATTAACCATAATTTGTGCAATAATGTTGCACTAATCTTTCCTTTGCCCGATGAAAGCATATCCAGCTATTTGCAGCCGTCCGTAACTTACTGAAATAAGAAGATCAAGTCAGGGGTTTAGGCAAGAGATGCTAGCCAGCCAATCCGAGCAGAGGCACAGTGAAACAGTCTACCTAGTGGCTGATTGCACTATCATATGAATATTTACTTCTATTCCCAATGTTACATCAAACGTAAACAATAATCAGGAATTAAAACATTTTTTTAATTTTCTGGTACTTTACATTTTAGGTTGGATAAAAGAGAAGACTGGTAGGTAGCCAACACACTTGATGAACACTAGAAGCAGGTAATTCTGGATATCTAACTACTTATTTAGACGTTTCATTAAAGACCTAAGGTTTATTTCCTTCTTTAGGAATTTTATATTTATTTCATTTTCTAGTATTTTACCTTTCTTAGTTAAAAATGATTCTCTTTTATTTTAGATGGTGGTATGATTTTCTTGGATATTTCATTTGATTGTCTTTGAATTTGAATTAATTTCATAGTTAATCGTCTTNATCCTTTGACTAAAGTATAGACGTGGTTGTCGCAATGTCCGTTGGGTACGTTCTTCCGTTCCCATATACAATGTAAACGCTGCCTGTAGGTCATCTTCAATCTTATAAATTTATTTAAGGCCACGTTTTCAATTAAATCATTTTGTTGACACTTGATTTTGGACACCAACGACTCGCACATGGAAAATACTGAGCTGACTCAGGAGACACACGTGATGGATCCATGAGATTTGAATATGGAGCTGAGATTATATATTTTGCAGAAAAATAAATAAAAGATTGGCAAGAGGGGGTTTTTATAGTGGTTCGGATGCTCAACAAGTGACTCCTACATCCATTGTTATTTTATTTCTCACTGACTATTTCTATGATATTGCCTGTAAGGCATACAAAGAGGAAGAAATCAGTGTTTACAGAGAGAGAATGAAATGAAGCTCAAATCTCAGCCTAGCCTCCTTCTTCGGGAAGAGGAGTGCCCATTTATACACCTTTGCACTCAATGTAATAAATGTTTTTCAAGTTGCCTTGACACATGAAGGCTCTCGTCCATTCATCTCTTGAAATGAGATAAAATTGGTGAGAATATCTTTGGAGATATGGCTTGGCAGCTGGTACAAGAAGACATTAAATGAGCTGACATAGGCGTGACTTTTTAGGCATAACAGAAGCCCCCCAGTTTTTGAAGTGCGTAATCGCGCTTCAGAAACTAAAGTCTTTGATCTTAATGGCTGCAGTCTCGAACTGAAGAGCTCGAACTGAAATCTGTTAGGAAAACGACCTGAAATCTGTTAGGAAAACGACTTAAAATCTGGTAGGAGCACGACCTGAAATCTGTTAGGAGTTTGACTTGAAAGGTCAAAACGACCTTGACCTGAGAGGTCAAAACGAGCTCAACTTGAGAGCTAAACAAGCTAAACTTGAGCTAAACGAGCTCAATCTGAGAGGTCAAAACGACTTGAATGAACAAAATAAGCTCAATCTGAGAGCAAAACGAGTTCAATCTGAGCAAAATGAGCTCAATATGCACATAACGAGCACAACCTGAGCACAACCTAGGCTCGACCTGAATGAGCACGACCTGGGCTCGACCTAAGCAAATAACGAGCAAGATTTGGGCTCGACCTGAACGCATAACGAGCATGACCTGGGCTCGACCTGAGCACATAACGAGTACGACCTGAGCTCGATCTGAGCATATAACGAGCACGACCTGAGCGCGCGATAAGCGATCTAGCCACTTGATCTGGGCAATCTGAACATGTGATCTGAACAGTCTTGAATGTGCGATTTGAGCGTGCGATCAGCGATCTGACCACGCAATTGGAGAGTTTTGACATGTGTGATCTGCGATCTGGCCATGCGATCGGAGAACTCTGACACGTGCGATCTGCGATCTGGCCACGCGATCGAAGCTCTAATGCGTGCAATTAGCGATCTGGCCACGCGATTGGAGAGCTGATGCGTGCGATCTACGATCTGTCCACACGATCAGAGAACTCGGACGCGTGCGATCTATGATCTGTCCACACGATCAGAGAACTTGGACGCAGGTTTGAGAATCGGACCTGCATGGGCCACCAAACTGTTGACACTTGATTTTGGACGCCAACGACTCGCACGTGGGAAACGCAGAGCTGACTCAGGAGACACACGTGATGAATCCATGAGATTTGAATATGGAGCTGAGATTATATATTTTGCAGAAAAATAAATAAAAGATTGGCAAGAGAGGGTTTTTATAGTGGTTCGGATGCTCAACAAGCGACTCTTACATCCACTGTTATTTTATTACTCATTGATTATTTCTATGATATTGCCTGTAAGGCATACAAAGAGGAAGAAATACAGTGTTTACAAAGAGAGAATGAAATGAAGCTCAAATCTCAGCCCAGCCTCCTTCTTCGGGAAGAGGAGTGCCCATTTATACACCTTTGCACTCAATATAATGAGTGTTTTGCAAGTTGCCTTGACACATGGAAGGCTCTCGTCCATTCATCTCTTGAAATGAGATAAAGTTTGTGAGAATATCTTTGGAGATATGGGTTTGGCAGCTGGTACAAGAAGATATTAAAATGAGCTGACATAGACGTGACTTTTTAAGTATAACACATTTAAACCGGAGTTCATAATTGTTTAATGAAGAAAAGAACCATGCATGATATCTTGAGTCTATATGTTCAAATTTCAGAATTGGAAGTTTCTCGTTAAAAAAGAAAAGTCTAGCATTTTAGGTAACAAAGTATTTGGGCGAACATAAAAAATGGTTGGATTGGATGTTGGTCAGCTACTTTGATAAATCATTAAACCTTGTATTACAAATTACATTGATGGGATCATCCATAAACCCAAGAAATCACGCTGCTCAATTGGTCAGAATTTATGTGCGCCTTTATACTGTAGTTTGTCAAGCAGGGAAACTTCGATAGACTCTTAAACACTCATGAATTATTACGTTTTCTGAATATAAATGTTTTTGACGAATTAGAGCATAAAGAAATTGAGCCATCATGAGACTGAACAAAATTAATGCATTACATAATCAGCAGTTATGGCCATTGACCAGGCTACACGTTGATTCCCAGATTTCTTCTTTCGACTTGTATATTTATGGCCCTTTTCTTCTTTCTGAGATTATTTTAACATATTTCTTTCTCTTTTTCCACATGAAAAGAAAAGTCCCACAAAAATTAGGCAAGTTTTCGTTACGTCATTTTTACCAATAATTTGGTCTGGCTAGGCGCTTATTAATATTTTTTTTAACAAACTTTTTGCCAACAACCAAGGCCGAAGCTCCAACCGTGACATTTTAAATGAGCACGACCAAGTAATACATAAATAATGCGTAGACGCGTTGATGCATAAGCTGACGCAATCGGAGTTTCATAGAGCCTGTTCGTTACTCTTTAAAAAAAAAAAAGTTATTTTGAAAAAGCATTTTAAATTGAGTCGGGTTAAATCAAATTTGAATTTAAATCTGAAAATGTATTTAGTAAAATATCTAAAAATTATATCAGAATTGGGTAGATTGCTAAATAATTATTTGGTATATTTTTTAAAAAAAGTTTTTAAGACAAAATAGTTATTTGGTATATTTTTTTAAAAATATTGTGATTATTTTTCCAACCCCTTACACTTGTTAATTTAGCTAAACACCCCCACAATAAAAGTTTAAAAATTAACTAAAGCATCCCAACCACCCAAGAGGACAACCGGTCACCATGCGATGGTGACAGACAATAGTTGTTAGGACGACGCATGATCGACTGGATCTGACTGGTCGTGCGTCGATATGACCGTTTTCAGTCAGATCTACAGTAAAAAACTGGCTGTTGAAAGCCAGATTTTGGCCGTTATTAATGACCAGATCTCAGCCGGCAACAACCAGATCTCTGGCCATAGATCTAACCAGAAACAACCAAATCGACGTATAATCGGCCAGATCCGACCAATAGAAGGAGGAAAAATGAGAAGAGAGAAAAATATTTTCAATTGAATAGAGTTAGATAATTTAGAAACAAGTCCCACATTCTTTTCACTTTTAAACAAAAAATCTTATTTGAGTTGGATTAATTTTCAGATTGGATTGGTCTAATAAGTAAACAAACACATATTCTATTTTTTAATCCAAATAGAATAACAAAATAATGATCCAGAATAGACAGGGGCATAATTGTTTCTTAACCAGAGGCCATGGCATTCATACTTGACCATCATCGGCAGGCCAAAGTTCTGAAATATTTAATCAGAAATTTCATCAAGGATTATTTCTATTTCTTGATGTGTGTTACAATAGCAAACAGGGCAGATACATTGGACCTCAAAACACTAGTGATCATCAACCTATCACTCCTAATCAATGTGAATCATTATCATCAACAAGCACAACTCAAAATGAGAGAGAAGAAATTTGTCAGTGAATCACTTTTTCAACACCCAAAATATGTCATCTTCCACATGATTTTGATACACATTTAGTAAAATAAAAATGATTTGCCATTTGAATGCAACAAAACAATAAGTCAGCAAACAGTCCAAATGGTTATTCTACTCGGGATATGAACTCTCCATATATCACAACAACCACACCTGTAAATGATATAGTTAAACAAAGACGGTAGGTTTAATCTGACACACAATCTCTGATATATATAAAATTAATCAGCGATTTCTAGCATACATTTGTAGAGAATACAAGAGTCAGTGATGTATAGTTTTTACTCTTTCATGTATGACATGGAATGGAAAACTTAAGTTCTATCCACGAATGTGTGGTGGTTACTGGTTTAGCATTAAAATACAAGAGGAAGAGGGAGAGCCCCAAGATATGCTCAATCACTAGCTAAAGATGATCAGAGGCATTGCCACAGCAAGATTTCTAAAATCAAGGAACAGGACCTAGTCCAACCTCAGGTATCCTGTAACAAAGGGGAGATAACACAGTGGATGATTTAGTATCATAAATCATAAAAAAAAAAAAAAAAAAATAACTGCATACGCACACGTCTGCTCCCTCAATAATTTGTTCCTGTAAATAGTAAAGAGTTATCTGAGGTTGGGTATTCTGTTTTCCCATTTCTTTTATTCACTTGATATACACAGGGGTCAACTGCTAAGTATTCACCAAAACCGAATTAAATAAATAAACAGCTTTGTCATCAAATATATCATTCTCTGCAACTAGTAATTAACCATAATTTGTGCAATAATGTTGCACTAATCTTTCCTTTGCCCGATGAAAGCATATCCAGCTATTTGCAGCCGTCCGTAACTTACTGAAATAAGAAGATCAAGTCAGGGGTTTAGGCAAGAGATGCTAGCCAGCCAATCCGAGCAGAGGCACAGTGAAACAGTCTACCTAGTGGCTGATTGCACTATCATATGAATATTTACTTCTATTCCCAATGTTACATCAAACGTAAACAATAATCAGGAATTAAAACATTTTTTTAATTTTCTGGTACTTTACATTTTAGGTTGGATAAAAGAGAAGACTGGTAGGTAGCCAACACACTTGATGAACACTAGAAGCAGGTAATTCTGGATATCTAACTACTTATTTAGACGTTTCATTAAAGACCTAAGGTTTATTTCCTTCTTTAGGAATTTTATATTTATTTCATTTTCTAGTATTTTACCTTTCTTAGTTAAAAATGATTCTCTTTTATTTTAGATGGTGGTATGATTTTCTTGGATATTTCATTTGATTGTCTTTGAATTTGAATTAATTTCATAGTTAATCGTCTTCCATTTGAGGTCTAATTAATTGGTGAGAGACGCACTTGAATGTAAGATGAATCAAGTATTTCCTCCCTCTAATTTTTCTTAATGTTCCTTCCATGTCTTAAAATTTCTCCTTCCCATTTCTTACTGTCTTTTGAGGCTTAGTATAAAGAGATTCATTGAAGAAAAGGGTTGATGTTGAAGTGTAATGCGGCAAGCATTTGATTATATAAAGATGAAGGAAGATCATTAGATCAAGGAACGGAAAGGCATGACGAGAGATGGTATGAGATGCAATTTGTGAGATAAGAAATTGATAGCAGTTAATGAAATAATAAGAGTTATTTGGGTAATGATATTCAGAGCAGCTCTTCTCCTAATCGATTTCCAATTGCTTCTCATAAAATGCTATCTTTCAGTAGTCAAATGAAAAGATGCATCAGAATCCTAAAATGGTTGAAGGATAATACAGTAAATGAATCCATTACGGAATTTATCAGCATTTAAGAACGTTAAAAGTCATTATATAACTTTATGATTTGTCTGGTATGAAACAGCTTGCAAGTAATCTTTTTATTATCATATCTTTTGCAGTTACTATGTTAGTAGAATTTAGAAAGATCCATGCATATTTTAGAGATATTTCTACGCTTCATTTTCACCCTTTCAAATGCCAACAAGATGAAGAAGTCATGCCATGGGAAGACAGACTCAGAGATACAATAAAATTAAGTAGTTCATTCTGTCCATTTTTCCTTTCTTTCTTCTCGGATAGAATATCATCTATTGAGAAAATCTAATGCCCAAAATATTAGCAAATTCAAAATAACATATATGGCATGTGGTGAAGAACCTAATACCTTCTGCAACGAATCAGCAGATGAAGATTTCAGCCCATGATATCCAATGTCATATGCAATGCTCCCATCAGGCTTAAATAGTCCAAAATTCCTCTCGGAAGTTGGCCCCGGTTTCAAATTTTCATTAAAAATTGCAAAAATATAAGCTTTCACCACACTCTTCGGCCTAAGTGGAGTTCCTTTCTTCTTTGCAAGCCTTTTCCGCAGATTATAATTGTATGTTCTAGCATTATCAACTGTTGCAGCTGCTTCATTGTCATCTCCACGTGAAGCCCACCCAGTCTCAGTAATTATAACTTCCATCTTTTTAAATCCAGCATCTTCTAAAGCAGCATAGGCTGCATCGATCTGAGCATCAAGCATATTATCATAATGCAGATTAGTTTTTGAATCGTCAATCCCCTGAGTTGACAGGAAAAGAGCATAATTCATATCTATATTCTCTGGATCACCCATGTAGGCCAAAAATGGGTAGGCATTCAGACAGAAAGGAGAGCCAATTTGAGCGAAAAATTCCAATAATGGCTTCATATACTGAGCAACATCATCTTTAAATATACATGATGAGGGGGGGTAGGACTTATCAAATACAGCCTGTGAATGAGCTGTGGTGATCTGAACTTTATCAGCTAAATCAAGCTTCTTTATAGAATTGTAAACATTTTTAACTGCACCTAAAAGAGCTCCCCACATTTCATAATCACCCCCTCCCAGAACTTCATTCCCCACAGCGATTCCAACAATTTTTGTCCCTGGAAGAAATGACTGCACATTTTCTTTAACCCAACTCATTGCATGACTCTCATTGGCACTCATTTCTTTCACATATCCATTTGGAAGTCCAACCACAATTTCAAGCCCAGTCCCACTGAAGGCCTGGAGAACACTGTGATCGGCATCATAAATACGAACATTCTTTATCTTTGCTGCCCTCAGAAGGGTAGCAACTTCTTCAGGTGATGGAATGTTATCTGCAATCCTTCCATAATTTATTCCATAAGTACCAGTGAAGGCTTGCACTACCTTAGGTGCTGGAGAAAAAGAACAAAAATGTATCGATTAATTAGTCAATCATTTGATTCTACATATCGATAACATGAAAAATCACCATTATGTATTGAGTTTAAATCTGACAGCTACAATTTTCTCAACATAACTGCAGAAAAATGAGGAAACTTGATGGCATTCATTATATTGGTGAAGCAGTATATGGAGATCTTCCAGCAAAATATTCAAACATTCTTTCAAGTCCTATAAATTACAAGTGTGTTTAGATGAAACTGTGCAACTAGTCCACGATGAGCATGACAAAAAAGTAGACTTCACTTTAGGATCCAAAAAGTAAGAACCAATAAAAGTTTTACATATGTATTACATGGTAAATTGTATTGATATTGTAATCCAATTTCCATATTGACTTAAAACATAACAGGTCGAAGAGAAGAGAGAAGAGAAGAGAGATACAGATTAAACAAAAATTTTCTCCATACCAATACCTCAAGAAAAAAATCATTACAATCTAGATATGGAAACCAATCACCATAATTGACAAATACAAATAATTCAAGATACAACCAAAAAAAGACAATAATGTTATTGTTACTCTATGATTAGGCTAAAGAATCTATAATCATTAAAAAGGGAATAAAAAATCAATTAAATTTAAGTATCAACAAACTCATAAGCTAAGAAAATTTAAAAAGGAAAATCAATC